ATATGCTTTTTCGATAGCTTATATTTCCATAAATATTCAGTTAAATCAGTAAGGTCACATCTTGAATAGTTTTTGGATGGCAGCATTCTAAAGGGCGACTACTCGTATGTGCAAACATATATAAGTGAAACTTTAAACGCGTTTTTCTCGAAATAACATTTTTTTAAAATTGCTGGCGTCATAACTCAACGATAAATTGACCGATCAACTTCAAATTACAACTAAGTACATTTGAATACATTTGCCATACAATGACCTACGATCTTTTTGATTGGTTGAAAATTGTCAATTTGGCATTAAAAAACGACCATTTTTTTACCTAAGAAAACGATTTTTTTATTTTTCAAAATTGCTTTTAAAATATAAATTTTTTTTGTTTGAGCTACTTATTCGTCCGAAAGCATGCCACCTTTTTTGGCACCTCCAAAGACAGCCCATAACTCAACTAATTAAAAATAAAAGTCTTAAAATATATCTGAAACTATACCTTATTACTTTCAAAGAAGTTCGAAATATTCAATCGCGTATTTTCTCTAAAAAAATCGCCTAATTTTTCATGCGTCACACTGGTATAGCCCCTTAAGACTAGAAAGTAATAGTAATTGTTAAAGTCTCTGGAAACCAGACGGGAACAAACTGTGAGGCACGAAATTGAAATTCTTTTCTCTGAATTATGTTGGCTTCCCAAAAAATCTAATAATTAGAAAATATTTCATTTATTTAGAAATTAAAAAAATTAAAAAAAATCTAGGTTTCCTTTAGATTATTGGAAACATTTAAATGGATAGGCCACAAGCATAATACCATTTGACGGCATATTTTGTTATGCATTTTTAAGATTTTTTGTCTACGCAAAGTACATAAAAGGAGCTTTAAGTTTAATTTCGTTTATTAACATATACTTTAACAGCATAAATATATGTTTTAAGCTAAAAGTATTGTGTAGAATAAGCGGTACAACATTCTGAAAACCTTCACCTTGAAAAATTAGACTTCCACTTCTTCCACGATTCCGGCTGATTGGCTTATCCTAAACATGAACCCATTGGTGGAGGTTGAATTTTAAAGGCCTTAATGCGCGTAGTGGATTTTTATTAACTGCATCTATTTAAAATTGAATCTTTTGGTAGACATTTGAACAAGTTGGGAATCTTGCGTTTATTATTATTATTATTTCTTTTTTTTGCAATAAAGTAATGAGTATTTTGCGAGTTTTTGATTGATAGCATATTGTTCCATGCATTTACATGTGCTAATTGTTCCCTATAAATTTCAAGTCATTCGGTTAAGCCGTTTTTGAGTTATGGTAAATTTTGTTTTGTAAGTTTTGAGTTATAGGAAAGTTTGCGGAATATAGTTGTGAGAAAAACGCGCTTAAAGTTTCAATAAGATTAGCTGAACAGCTGCTTGTTCTAATAGCTATATTTAAAAAAAAAAACAACTCTGAATTTTAAAAAATCACTTTCTAACGCATTTTTAAGACATGTTAAAAAAACAAATCGTGGGAATTTAAAAATCCATTTCTTGAGAATTTATTTGCAAAAAAATTGTCAAAAATCTATTTTTTTCAGAGAATAAGTATATACAACGCTTTTATGCTTTAATTTTTGGTTACTATATGACATTTGGTAAATACTTATTAATTTTTATTAATTTATTTCCTTTCTTCTATTAAATGAAACACTCACAATTCCACAAGTACATATAAATGCAAATCACACATCTCTCTTCGAAATAGTTACTAAACTCAATTTATTCACCTAAATTAACACAAACACATACGCACCGAATAACGGTAACTATTTCTAATTTTCTATTTTCTACTAAAGCTTTTGCACTGAAATTTTAAAAATTGCCAAAAAAAATTTGTACTCACCGCACGTGCCTCGGTACGCGTGCCAAAGTGGCTTAACCCCAAAAGGATGACCAACCAAAACTGCAACGGTGCGACGCTATGCAGTGACATTTTGTGCACTATTTTATAACAGTGACTTTGGCAGCAACAAAAACTTGAAGACGCAAAACAAGCAAGCAAGCGGCAGTTGCAATTTCACTATGACAAAGCACACAAGAAAACTATGTTACTCTCTATATGTATTTGTTTGTGTGTGCGACTGCGAGCTGGCAAAATATGAAAAGCACCAACACACACGCACGTTGAACTGTAAACACACACTGACTAAAATTTGGCACAAATTCAACTGGCTTTTGCTGCTATTGTTGCATTAGTTGTTATTGTTGTTGTTGCCTAATAAATATAGAGCGTAACACTTTGTGTTTGCACTAGTTATTGTTGTTGCTGTTGTTATGACTGTTGCTGTAAAAAACATGCATAAATAAATAAGTAATAAACACATGTGACACACACACGCACAAACAAACATATGTACGTGCGCGGGCTGTATGCGAAGCGGAAATGTCTGAAGCGCTTTTCCTATTTATTTATGCATTTGCATGCGCGTATGTGTGTGTTTGCATGCAGCGCAAGCAATAAGTCAAAGTGCCAGCGAGAACGCTTAGGCTTAACAAGCAGCGACACACATACACATGCATACAAATGCAAAAAAATAAAAAAAAAATAAAAAACACTTGTGCGAAAAAGCGCCGCGGGCCTCAAGCGTTTCAGCGCGTGTGAAGCGGAAAGTGCGATTTTGTCGACTGACGGCCGACTGGCTGTGTGCCACACTGACTGAGAAACGGTAAATAGCACACGGCTGTCTAAGCAATTGGCTGAGAGCGCTGCCGGCACACAACTCAGTATTTATTTTTATTTATTTCTGTATTATGTCACTAGCGTTACTTTAATATTTACGTTTTCAACGGCTGAAATCGCCTCCAGTACACTTGTGAAACTGTGTGCTTCAATGCACACACACGCACACATACACCCACGTACACAGAAACTCTGGCTCTGTTAGACTCAAAACGATACTCGACTCGTAGGCTCGAATTGGCTACCGCACGTGTTCGCTGCCCGTTTGATTCTGCCGTGCCAGACATGGCGACGCTACTTTAAAAACCCAATGAGGTCCGTATCCTTTCGTGCGTCGACGTTGGCGGCGAATTCGTGCCGATAGCTGTGCTTCACGGCGAATTCAGCGCACGAAGTGTGCGTTGTTTGTGCCAATCGGGCGCTCTCAACTTCAGTTCACTCTCGCCGCGCGCACTCTCTCAAGGCCATTCATTCGGCTGCTGTCAACTTGACAAATTCTACTCCGCTTTTTTCATCGCACGTTCCCTTGCACATTGACTTTCTTCGTTTGTGTTTTTGTGGCGTTTCGTTTTTGTGTGAATTTTTCGCGTGTTGCATATTTGTTTTTGTACGGCCTTTCGTGCTCAAATGCACTTTGTTCCTTCCTTTCTGCGTATGTGTGAGTGTGCGTGTTTCTTACATTTATTGCTTTTGGCACTTTTTATACCCACTACAAGGTATATTAAGTTTCCGATGAAGTTGTTATTCCCAGAAGGAAATGCCAGTTATCTTAAAAAATAAATATATACATATAAGATTTATAGGAAAGTCAAAAAAGTCTTTTCGTATTTCTAATCAAACTTCAACATTTTTTTTTTTTATTATATTTACAATGAACTTTAATAAACCAAATATGTACCGCTTTGATCAACCGAAACTCAACTTTATTCCATTAAGGGAGTTTCATTGACCGAAACAAATGACAGTCCGTTGGTGCAAGGTCAGGGCTATATGGTGGATGCATCAAAAAGCTCTCCCAGTTTTTGTCGAGTCATCAAAGATGTGTATGGTCTAGCATTGTCCTGATGGAAGACGAAACCCTTCCTGTTGATCAAATCTGCCGTTTTTTCCATTGTTTGCTTCAATCTCATCAGCTGTTGACAGTGAAATGTAGAATTAATCGTTCTACCAGGCTGGAGCAGCTCATAGTCAATAATTCCTTTCCAATTCCACGGAACACTCAGCACAACTTTTCGAAGCATCAATCTTGGCTACCATTTGTTGACCTTCGCCACGCGTGCGCCACTTTGATCCACTTTTCGTCTCCTGTTACCATTGCCTTCAGAATTGGTTCGATTTCATTTCGTTTCAGCAACGAATCGCCGATGTTAACTCGATCTATTAAGTTTTTCACAGACAACTCATGTGGTAACTAGCCTTTTTTAAATGGTAAAAAATTATGAGAAAGTTAAGTTCCTTAGCGATGTTATGGCTGCTTACGTCGGTACTGACCAATCTTCATTGGTGGTTTGCCTTGCATACTTCCTATTTTTATACAAAAATTTCAAAATATAGCGAATTTCTTCATTATTTTCACTCAGGTTTGAACAGCTGCATTTTTTCAGCTTTCTCGATTTTTTTTTTTTTTTTTTTTTGTTAAATGAAGCTAAAAATCTCACTTTTCTAACACTGTATGGTATGACGCAATACGAAAAGACTTTTTCGACTACCCAATATATCATAACTATGACCATTTTGCCGTGCTGAGTCGGTATAGAGATGCCCATCTGGTTGTGCAAGCTGGGCGACTATGCTTAGATTTCGAGGTATTGATCAGTTGAGACGCCTTACAAAGTGACCGATAAAAAAATTTCTTATTTTTTAAGGGTATTATAGCTTCAGTGCAACCGAAGTTAACGTTTTTCTTGTTATTATTTCTTTTTCGTTTTCCACTATCATTTCAATGCTCAGCTGTTTTTCTCAATCCAAAAAAGTTTTAGCTGCTGTTTTTTTTAGCTTTCTGCAAACCTTTTTATTATCCTTTTCCTTTAATAACAAAAATATGTGCGTCCACATGTTGCACTCACACACTTTTCTAATTGTAATTTCGGTTATCATGCTGGCGTTCGCTGCCACCCGCTCGCCGCTAGCAAACGCAGTCTTTTTTTTCGTTTTTAATTTTGCTTGCTTTGACTACGTTCTGAGCTCATGTGTGCGTGCTTGTGCTCCCTTTGCCATTTATTAGTGCGAAATTTCATTTTTGCTCGGCTCATGTCAGCTGCTCGGTTTTTATACTCTTGTTGTTTTTGTTTTTGTTGCCTTCACTGGAAATGTCCTGTCAACGGCAATGACACTAGCTTCCAGCTTATTTCCTTCAACACATTTCCTTTGTCACACAAGCGGGACGGACAGCGGGGAAATGCCTTCAAAGCAATCTCATGAAATGCATATAATCCCATGTATGCATATCTTAGTCAGTAAGCTAGCTGCTAAAGCCAGCGTGTTTATGAAAAACATGTGAAATATAAATGCAAAAGCACAGAGAAATGAAAGCTCATTTTGTGTTAAAGACACGTGTATTGAAACGCTTAGAGCGCAGCTTGTCAAAAAAAAAAAAAAAAAAACAGATTCGTTATAAAGGAGTTATTGAGGCAAATATGCATACTAGCCTTGGCTAATTGAGTTTAGCTGAATAATTGGTTTAGTTGAGTCAGAGAGCAGGTAGACATGCTCGACAGTGTGAAAATAGATGAAATAGGGTGATAACCCCGCTCACTCCCCATATAACGGTTCTGCTAAAAACTATTAAAAACGCAATAAATCAACAACTAATTACGCCAGAGACATTTAAATTGACTTCTAAGATAGGTAGGAAAGCTTTGTGAGAACCAGCGTTAAATTTGACGAAGTAACAATGGCCGTAGCACTACCCACTTTTTGGTGAAATTGATGAAATCACATATGTCGGGATCGGACCTATCGATTTCGACTAAATTCCACTTCCCTCGTATTCCTATGTAACAGTGCGAAAATGGGTGAAGTATCTATTATTGGCTGTTGACCGAAAATATCGCAATTGAATTTCAAAGATAAACCTCTCCTGGAAATAGTATCTCTGTTTTTCTAAAATGGGTTGAATCGGATCAATACTTCCTCGAGCCCCCATGTACCCAGCATTAAGGTTTTCGAACTTCCAAGTAGCTTTAGGCTGCATATATCGGTCAATATTTGAGTTATCTTAATAACAATCACAAAGCGTGTTTAACTCTTGACATACTTTGCATAGCCCCCACATAAGTAACATCAGGATTTTCGAACATCCGGCTGACTAGGGAATATTTGTTAATATATGGGATGACGATAGTTAATAGATAAAATATTTATCCATTCGTAGATTTATCCATTCCCCACACCATATTATGAACTAACGTCAGCGCTTCTTTGAATCGTCGAAACACTTACCAAACTCGATTTATTGGATATCCAATAGCACTTTCAGCGATATTTATCTATCTGTATATTGAATTAGAAAAAAGTCACACGGAGCCATGTACGAGTATGGGAAATATGGAGACTGAAGCGTCGTTACAGTATTAAGCATTTAACTAATGCAAATCAATCAACTCATAAGAATACGTTTAATCTTAGCGGCTACCATAGAGCAATTAAGCAATAAATACAACTGAAAATGCTATCGCGTTTTAGAGGCATGTCTATTGGGACAAAAAGGTACCCGAAAAGTGTAAATAAAACGCAAAATACCTAATTAGTCATAATTATATAGCATCTTTTCAAATGGCTTTCAGCTCCTTCAGTAAATTTTGTTTTATCTTATCGATCGCGTGAGAACGGGTTCCATGCAAGGCCATTTTCAGTTTGGAAAACAAGAAGAAATCACACGGGCGAAATTGAATACGGTGGTTGATTGCTGATATTCATTGTGCTTTTAATTCGGTCAGATCTTGGTTGATCTTCCACAATTCTGGCCTTTTAAAACGGATATTCAAACGCTAACAGCCCAATAAGGCCAAATAGAACTTCTTATTGACCGTCATGATGCACCAAACCACTTATATCGAATTTCGACTGTCTTTTCCTTCCATTCCGATGATTGTTGTCTTCTTTGCATGTAAACCCATGTCTCAGCTTCAGTTATAAGCTCTCCAGAAATGTGAGATTGGAATTCGCATGATCAAGCATGTTCAAAAATTACCACCTGCGGTAGTTTTTTTGAAAAGGTTGAAGGTCGTCCAGACTTTGTACCCTTCGTGGGCTTATGGTGATCCTTTTCTAACAATCGCAACGATTTTGTAGACGAAATTTGGTTCGGTACATAAATTTTGAGACAAATCCTTTGTTTTATCCACTATAAAAATCAAAACGCACTACTGAGGTGTAGCAGCTGAAGTAAACAAACTGGTTGACAGATCGCACTCATATTTGGCATAGTAATTAAGGACAATCCTACCAACTTAGCAACATAAATTTTTAAAATATCATTTACCCGGGGAATTTTATTACAATTTCAAGGTACTTTTTTTGTATATTAACTTAACGAAACAAAATTGACAATTGAACTCTGCAAAGAGTGAAATTTTTACTTCCTATTATCACCATTATTAGAACTCACCTTGTACATATCAATCCATTTTTTCATTTGGTTTTTGTGATTGATTACTCCTCAGTGTTGTATAAAGCTTTAACAAGGTTCCATCGTTTCAAAGCATTGAAGCATATGGCTTTTGTATTTTAGCAGGTGATATTGACATGCGTTAAATCGTAGTTGGTATATTTTAAGTTGATATCTACTCTGTTGCCTTGTGAACTTCAGTCAAGCGGCATTCTTTTAATGCTGGTCAAGGTCATTTTCAAAGCATGGTCTCATTTTGTATACTCTCTTTGTTTCAGTGTCGGTCATTTCTTTATTCTCTATGACACTTGATCCTTTTGGGCCAGAATATTCTGAAGAGGATTCAAAAGAACTTAATTAATGCTTGGATGCTTTAATGATCCTTACTTTTACATAGGAATGTTGTACTGAGCAGTTATGTCAACAAACGTTTTTAATTTTGTGTAAATATTTTTGATGAACAACTAACATTTTCTATGTAGTGTTATTTATTTTTGCCGAAAGTATTGTATTTTTTCCAATGTTACTATATGAGTCACGGAATAAATTAGTTATTATTTCAGAATCAGATTTAAGGGTCTAGTTTTTCGGGGTTTCTTTTAAAAGATGATTTGTATACTCATTTTTAGGCAAGTGCAGTCGACTTAA